GAGGCAGTATCACTACGGAAGTAGGATTGCCCAACCTTCCTTCCGAGGAGTGGCTGGTGGGTTTGAACCGCCAGCCTTCTGGTGAGCAGTCAAGTGCTTTAGTCACTATGCTACCAGAGGTCAGGTGGTAGGGGGAGCCAAAAAAAAAAAGAGAATCCAATCACTTTATGGTTTTCGGGTATGTGTGTTGGAAACTAGAGAATGAGACACTTCCAAGAGAGGGCTTTAAATGGTGTAATATTCGTGTGCTACTAGGTGTCAGGGCTCATTGGTGGAGGGACTGTTTTATGAAGAGACTGACAAGGCACAGGTGTCATCATGTGTAAGTCATTGGTGACATGCTAGAGGTATGCACAAGCCACTTGTGGACCATGAAAGAGGGACATCAAAATTGTGAATGGAGATGAACTTTTGAGTGCAAAGAGGTGAGTTTAGTGACACGTGTGGCATCTGGAAGTTACAGTCATCATATAGATGAATATGAGAGAGCCAGGTAAAGTAACATTGTTTAAGATAGATAGAGTATTATGTAGGAATGTAGGGAGGAATGGAAGAACATGGCCACTTTTTGGGGATCAAGTGGTTTGGTATATTTGGGCACAGGGTGTATTCAGGGAAGGTGCAGATAAGGCATTGTGATAGGTTGCATGTGAGAGTCTATTGGACTGTGAGCTTTTAGCCAGTCAGTTGTCTTAGGGTAATTGCATGGTAAGATACGTATTTTGTAAATGAATTGAATGACTGGGACTGGGGTAAAATATTACAGAAATGTATGCGATAGTTGGAACAAGGGATGTGTTATGCAAGGAATAAAATTATCTGAAAATCACCCTGAGTACTCCTGAGTTACCTAGACAACAAGCTAGATGAGAGGTAGAATAGCCCCTTCCCACTGCTCAGTTGCAAGGACAACTTTCTTGTCTTTCTTTGGGCTTTAAAGGATCTCAGCTGCCTCCAGAGCCCCAGGCTAAGTATTCTGAGTCAACTCTATAAACAGTTGGTACCTCAAATCCAGGCTGCCAAGAGTTAATGAGAGACTAGAGTATATCACTGTCTTGCTGAACTTGGCTTTGGAAGTTTTCCCTTTCCCAGGCAAACCTATTCTTTTGCTGGTGAATGGCATTACAGTATGGAGCTCTGGTGGTATAGTGGTTAAGGCATTTGGCTGTTAACCACAAGGTTAGTGGTTCCAACCCACCAGCCAATCTGCAGAAGAAAGCTGAAGTGGTCTGCTTCTGTAAAGATTTACAGCCTCAGAAACCGAATGGTATCTCTGTGAGTCAGAATTGATTCAGTGGCAGTGAGTTTGGTGTTTGGTTTTTGGCATTACGGTAAGGTATTGCTGGAAGAACCATTGAGACTGGATCAGAGGTGGTTGTGTTTTTCCGTTTGAAAGATAAAGGCAGTTTGAACCATGCTTTTGACATGGGGCTGGAGAGATGTGTATAGCTGAGGAATAAGGTTAGGAGTTGAAATCAGTAGAATGTGATGACTCATTGTGGGGGCTCAGAGAGCACTGAGCAAGGCCATGTGGAACATCTGAGAGAATCTGCTCCAAGGATGGAGTTACTGTGTGGGTCAGTAGAACTGTGCTCATAGGGTTTTCAGTGCCTGATATTTTGGAAGTAGACCACTAGGGCTTCTTTTGAGGTGTCTCAACACAGTAGCTACCAGCCACTGAACATGTGAAACGTGGCTAGTCTAAATGTGGTGAGAAAGGGTTAAAATATACACTAGGTTTCAAAGACTTGGTGTGGAAAATACCTCATTAGTAATATTTTAATACTGATTGCCTATGAAAATGATATTTTGGGTATATTGAATAAGTAAAACATAATTAAAGATAATTCCACTTGTATAAGAAACACATTTTCCTGATAAATTTTTTATATTATTGAATGTATATAGCAACATGTACACCAATTCAAAAGTTTTTTTATATGTACAATTTGGTGATCACATTGATTACATTCTTCAAGTTTACAACCATTTTTGCCTTTCTTTTCCAAATTATTCCTCCCCCATTAACATAAACTCATTGTTCCCCAAGTTTCCTATGTAATCTTTTGAGTTGGCGTTGATCTCTTAGATTGTTCTTAAAAGAGCATGATGTTCAAGGTTGGCATTCTTTACTAAATAAGCCATCCTACTGTATGGTTTAGGAGCTCTGGTGGCGTAGTGCCTAAGGCATTAGACTGCTAACCAGAAGGCTGACGGTTCAAACCCACCAGCTGCTCTGCAGAAGGAAGATGGGACAGTCTACTTCTGTAAAGATTTACTGCCTTGGAAAACCAAAGGGGGTCACTGAGTCAGAATTGACTAGATGGCAGTAGGTTTGGGTTGGTTTGGTTTGTTGTGTAGTTTAAAGAAGGCTTAAGGGTCTATTTTCAGTGTAAGGTTTAAGGAGAAACACATTTTTTTCCCTCATTTTTTTGTGATTTGGGTGCAGACTTACAAAGAGATTCATTTTAGTCTTAACAGTTGATACACATTTTGTTTCATGGCATTGATTGTAATCTCGACAATAAACAGCTCTCCTCCCAGTGACTACCACTTCCCTATGCCCTTCTAATCTATGCGCTCTTGTCTAATATTCCTTGTATGCAAATGCTGCTCTTCTGATGTCTCATGGTTGATTGATCTAAGGGGTGTATCTCCCTGGGCTAGATATTCTGATTGTAGGCCTTTCTGCTGTTTGGCTGAGAGCTGACGCACAGAAGTTAGTCTAGTTCCGGGCCAAAAGGATAACCTGGGGCCATAGTCTTGCGTGTTTCACCAGTCTCCATTTGACTAGTAA